CCCACCCACACCCACACCCACACCCACACCCTGAAGTGGATTCACATGTCTAGAATGAAATAGAATCAGAATCAGATGCAGAATTCCTGGAAGATCATGGACTCGTCGAAGAAGTAACTTCTGCTTCAGAAGATAATACAATCGATCCTATCGATTGCTATCGACATTTCATGACGGACGAAATTAGTGGCCTTATGGTTCGTGAAACTAATCTATACACGAAATAGTACTTGCAAAACCATGAGATAAGCAGACGATCAAAATTTCGTCAATAGAAACCAACCACTGATGAAGATATGCTCAAGTTCTTTGGAATCATTATCGAGATGGGGTTGGTACAAATGCCAAAACTGAGCCACTACTGGAGCAGCAGTCAGTTGTATGGATCCGAGATCATTCGGAATGTCATTTCGAGAGAGAAGTTTGAATTACTCCTCAAATTTTGACATTTTTCAAACAATGATAATAAAAGCTCAAACCAAGATAGGCTGTTCAAGTTGAAACCATTCTTGGATTTACTGAAAGCCAGATTTTCATCAGTATATATATGCATGGCTCAGTTATTACCATCGACGAAACTATGGTAGCATGATGAGGCAGGCTTTTCTTCAAACAATATATTCCTGGAAAAGCGCACAAGTACGGCGTAAAGATGTACAAATTAGCGACTACCAATGGATACACCTGGAATTATGTGATCTATACTGGTGAGCAAGATACAACGGCTGGTCTTGGACATGCTCAAGCAGTCGTAATGAATTTATGCGATGGTCTTTCGGGATGTTATCGAACCGTAGTAGCTGACAACCTCTTTACCTGTATTTCTCTTGCGAAACGTTTGTTGGGACATGATACGTATCTTATTGGAACATTGAGAAGTAATCGTGCTGGATCTGGACATAAAGTTGTTCAGAGAAAGCTCAAGCGTGGTGAAGTGTATTGGCTCCAGAGTAAAAACAGCATAAAATCGATCAAATAGAAAGATAAAAGAGACGTTTTGATGATATCTACAAAGCCATCTCATTCAGCAACTGTGGTGGACATCAGAAAAACCAATAAACTAAACGAGCGCATCATGAAGCCACAAGTTTTTCTCGATTACAATGAAGGGAGACAAAGTAGTGATTTATCAGATCAACTATCAACATACTATACATGTCTCAGACGGTCAATAAAATGGTATAAAAAGTGGCATTTGAATTGATATTTGGAACCGCAGTAGTTAATAGTTATCTGATTTACAAGGAAAATTATGCTGCAAG